TGAAAAATAGAGTTAGAATAGTTACTAACCCATGGTATGAAGTGGTTAACAAGAATATTGATATATGCGTCAGAATCCATACTTCCTTCTACTACAACCAAAGGTCTAACTCCATGCCAACCAAAATAACCCCAAAACATCACTGAACCACCACCAAATTTAACTGTAAGTAAGATACAATTTTATTATAAGCTTCTTCAGGACTTCTCCAAGCTCTTATTCTTCCATCTGATTCAAAAAGAGCAAATCTGGACTCATTAGACCATATTATCTTTTTCCATTAATCACCCCAGTTTCATTTCTCTTTACTTCATTTTAACTATCCTTTTGCTGTTTTTGGGTTAAAAGGGGTTTCTTACAAGTGACATAACTACCAAGGCCTTCATCATGAAGGTATTTTCTAACAGTATTATTATGCAATGCGGTATCAAGACTAGAGTTTAATCAGCTTGTTATATCACTAAGAGGAGCGAATTGATTATTTCGAATGATACGTTGTAGGGTCCGTTTATCACGTTGATTAAGTATTTTAGGATGACTAGGACGCTTCTCAGGTATCGCAGAACCTGTTTCTTTGTATCTTTTTATAGTATTGTTAACAGTGCTAGTGGAAATACCAAGCTGAGTTGAAATAATCATTTGCTTGGTACCACTCAGATATGCACTGATAATTCTTTCACATTGAGCTTTGGATAGCTCATTTTCACGCATTTCTATTTTGAAGAAGATAAAGAATATGTATGTATTATTTTTTTTATTATTTTTATATACATTAGGGAGAAATCGTGAATTTATTATAGACGTGATAAATCACGTGATTATAAATCTGGTAATTTAATGTAGGTTAGTATATGTTCTATAGCTTCTTAAACCATAAATTTGATAACAGTTAAGTCTAACCTTTTCGAGATTAGACTTAACATATGATATACATTTTAAGCTTGTATAGTCAGGCCTAGTTCAAATTGCGTCACTTTATTCCTTGATTTTCGATGGCCCCTCTAGAGGCAAGTATAATAGCATAAAAGTTATTATTCATATTGGGTTTGCAATGTCAGACCCAGCTCAAATCACGTCACTTTGTTCCTTGATTTT